GGAAAGAGGGGGGAGAGACATAAACTATGGGGGTGTCCCGATTAGCAAGATTGATTATGGAATTTACTAAATTTAGCAAATATAAAAAGCACAACTTGCATGAGTTCATGAAATTTTGGATTTAAAAATCATATTTTTCCTTTGATTCATGATAAATCTGGATTTATTAAATCCAACAAAGAGGAAATTTTAATAAATCTAGCAACTAGGTGGATTTTTTAAACCTGAGCGTCAAATCCTGCCAGCACCAAAAAGCATCTTTGGTTGGTAATTTTTCTCACACTGCAAAAAAATTGCATTTTTCATCATAAATAACCAACCAGATAAATGTAAATAAGCTGAAAAAAAATCATTTTTTTATTTTTTTTCCCCTTTCCCATCTCCCTCCTTTATGCTCGCTCTGTTTTGTTCTGTTTCAACGTGCTTCTTCTCTTCACTATTTCAGCAAACGAAACCATCAAAAGAGTTGAAACAATGGGAGCAGAAGAAGCAAGCAAGGATCAGCAGCAAGGGCCCATCTCTTCCATGGACATGTCCCTAGAGCTTGGATACAAGCAGCTATCCCCTGATTCCATGGACGACGATGGTCGTCCCAGAAGAACTGGTTACTCCATCTCCACAGTTTCCCAATTCTATTCTTTTCTGCTTCTCTTTCTTTAGCCTGACATAAATTTGTAATCTTGATCAGGAACGCTGTGGACGGCGAGCTCTCACATAATCACGGCGGTGATCGGCTCCGGAGTTCTGTCTCTGGCTTGGTCCATTGCTCAGCTAGGATGGATAGCAGGCCCGATTGCAATGCTTATCTTTGCTTTTGTTACATACTACACCTCCTCCCTCCTCGCAGACTGCTACCGTTCCGGCGATCCCATCACCGGAAAGCGTAATTATACTTACAGGGAGGTCGTCCGGAGCAATCTCGGTCAGTTCCCTGATTCAGATCCTCTTATGTCCGCAAATGTGCTTGTATTGATTGCATGAGTGTGCAGTTTACGGCACAGTAGAGATTTCATGTATAAAAATGAACTTTAAATTCTGAGAGAGAGAGAGTAGAGAGATTATGGAAATAATTGTTTGATTTGTGAGATTTTTTTCTGAACAGGTGGGTTTAAGGTTAAGATCTGTAGCTACATGCAGTACATCAACCTCTTTGGTACTGCGATTGGGTACACCGTTGCAGCTTCCATTAGCATGACGTGAGTATTCAAAAAAAAATGTTTTTTTTGTTATTGAAGAAGAAGTTTAGAATGTTAATAGAATACATTTGAGCAGAAAATAAAAAGTTTTAGAATGTTATCGACCTTATTTTGTAAAACGGTGTTATATTTATGTCTTATAAGAAAAAGGTTGTTTTTTGCAGCAAAAAACACAAAAATCAGAAATTTCAGGCCATTACTACCTATCATCACCTTCATCACAGCAAAAAACACATTCAAAAATTATTTCAGGCCATTACTACCTATCATCACCTTCATCATCTTCATCAAAATTGTCATCCGTCAGCCTTAATCTCAATCATTACGGAAAAATTACTGAAATTATTCTGAGAAAGGTCTTTTTAACATGACAAATCCTTTTTATTGAATTTCACACATTGTTTTCCTCAAGATGAACTTACATTCTTGTAAAAGATTCATTACTAATACTTTCCATCTTAAAATAATTACTTCGCATTACAAATTAAATTTAATCACTTTAAGCTGAACAAATCTCTTAAACTACCAGCTTCACAAATCCCCTTCCACAAAAACATTTTTTTTTTATTTTTTCCCAGATATTTTTGCATTTAATTCTTATATAATTGATAAAACAGGAGCGAATATGAATATTACGTGTGAATTTTGCACATACAATTTGATGATATTTTAATAAAATCATAATATTATTATAACTTAAGCATCATAATATCATCAAAATGGCATCTTTCTTCACCCCACCTAATATTTTTTTTTTTTCCCCCCTGAAAACAGGGCAATAAAGAGATCAAACTGTTTCCACAAGAACGGCGAGGACAGCCCCCGCCACACCTCCA